AACAGATTCTTAAAGCCACTTAGAGAGGTCAAGGTCGAGAGCTTCAATTCTTTTTGTAAGATATTCCAGGAAACAGGAGCGGAGTAGGAGAAGGCCCTTTTGCCTAGTTCAGTCCTCACTGAGGGAACACTGCAGGTAATAATGTCCTGAGAGCGCACTCCGTAGCTGCACTCACGCAGAGACATGTAGGAGGAGATGTATGAAGGCAACAGACCAAGAAGTGATTTAAAGATGAAAATGTACCAGTGGGAGAGTCTGCGTGAAGTTAATGATGTCCAGTTAACCAGTGAATACAGGGTACAGTGGTGGGTACGATAATCACAGCCAGTTATGAATCTTAGTCATCAACATCAACCAATGAAACGTTAGTTTAACAATTTTGAAAAATCAGAATAAATGTTACTCCTATTTGCCACAACTGGTTTATTAATGTCAATTTCTTTTGAATTATTTTCAACTGTGACTCATTCATTCAACCTTCATTTACAGGTTAGTCCCATTGAGCCTCAGGGACTCATTAACAAGAGAGACCTGAATTTTAACAGAGTGACGTCAACAGTGGGCAAACAACGAAAACTATAGACAGTCATAAAGGATGCGAACAATTTTGTTTTTGTTAAAATTGTTTTTTTATGTTAAAATTATCTGAAATTTCAATGGGAGATTGTAATTTTGTTTCAGTATTGTCAAAGCTAGCCATTGGGAAAATCATGATGAAAATAATGCTGATAATATATTCTGTCTTGTAAATTATTACAGGAATAATGTGGATTTTTCCTGTGGAGTTGAGGCCCCACCATTTAAAAAACCTAGCAACGCATCTGCACGGATTTGTTTTGCTAATTTCTGAAAGAGGAGGGGCATTTGCAGTGACGTGTCAGGCCCCTCCCACAGCTGGCTCCTGTGTATTGCAGTTTCTCAAACCGCAAACAGAGCACGGCAGCGGGGGCACTGACTGGCTGCAGAAGCAGGCTCCAAAGGCAGTCATGGCGGCGCCGTTAGCCCACTTCGATGAGGACTGGCAGGATTTTAACGAATTCAAGCCGTCCTCGGAGTCAGCCGAACAGCTGGACCAGCTGAATTCGAATGTGGGCGATCCATCGGGCCTAGACGACTTGTCCGACCTGGACAACAGTTTCTCGGGGGAGATCTGCAGCTTCAAGTCGATGGAGGACCTGGTCCACGACTTCGACGAAAAGCTGACAGTGTGTTTCCGAAACTACAACACTACGACAGAAAACATAGCTCCCGTTAAACCCATCACGGAGGATAACTTCTTAAAAGACGACGAGTGAGTTTGAATGTTACGCGAGTTTTGTTTAAATGAACTTTAAATCTGTCGGCTAGCTAGCCGCTTTAGCCTCAGAAGCTAACCTCATAGTGACTGAGGGAATCTCAGCTGCCTTCAGAGTCCAACACACATGACTATATTATATCAAAATATGATTAAATGTGGACAAATTACAATTGTGCTTACAAATTGAATATGTAATTAAATCTAATTTAACCATACATTTGCTTTACTAATTTGAAGGGTACAATTTGTGCGTCTAGAGCAACTATTACTACATTACCCCTTAAGAAACGTTGTTTTATCATTATTATTGACTTAAATTTCAGAGAACATGTCAAAGAGTCAATGTGCCATATGTCAGCCACATATTTCTTAAAGGTTGATCCGTCTAAATCTTTTCTTGCTGTTGTTTTCTCAGTCGGAGGTCCTCAGCAGTTGTTGGATCTCAGTGGGACACAAATGTCAGCAGAGCTATACATTCACATTCACTCCATACCACAGACAGAAATGTCACTTTTACAGCAATGCCTCCCACATGAAGCACCCTTCTCTTGCCCTTTGCATGTAATATGAGTTTGATCTGACCTCATGATGTGTGCAAGTTGATCACACCACTTGACAACTTCATCAGAAGACCAGAGGGAAAATGGTTTCGGTATGAACATGGCAATCCAGGATGCTAGTTTTAGATTATACATATTTTACTCTTTAATGTGCACTTTAAATAAAGATGCAAATTGTAGCTAATAACGGTCAAATTATTGTTCACAGGTTACATAAAAAATGACAATCCTGCTTGTGATGGTATCTAGTTTTTGTTTGGTTGCAAAGATCCGTAGCTGTGATATGAATTAAGTGTGCTGACAAACATACATTTTATCAGGTTATGTTATACTGTTTTTTTGCTGCGAACAAAGCCAGCTTGTTGACAAAATAATGCCGAGTATAAAATTTCCAATGCTTTGTGAAGGAAAAGATAAACACCACAAGTAAGTGAGCACATTATCTGAATTGATTATTTAATCTCCTCAGACATTTTAAAATAAATTCTCAATTCACTTTCCAAAAGTCCTTGAATGGCACATATTATGGAACCAACAGTTTTATTTTTATATTGATAATCTAAAATGGGCATTCCTTCCATGTAAATATCTTTTTTTTGTTTTGCTTTCACATAAAAAAAATTGTTACCCAGTGATTGACTTACTAGCAAAACATTTCCACGATGTAATGGCAAAGATGAGCCACTCTTCAAAAATTATGGTTTGAATTGTTTTAATGTTTCTAACAATTCCCACAATCAAACTTTTGCCAGGATTTGCCTAGTTAAATAAAGAGTAATAAATAAAATGTTTTTTTTTAAAGTAAATAAATGGTTGTTAGGTCGTACCTTTTAGAAATTAAAACCTTAATTTAGAGAAAGCTTGGATGCTGAGTAAAATGTAAGAAAAGACAACAAGGCAATGACTTGTACATTTCATGAATTCATATTTTATTCACAGTATAACTTAGTAAACATAATAATGGGAAGAGTCAGGGTGGAGATGGGACATTCAAAGTCTTTCTAATGTTTTGTTTAGGATTTTTTTTATGACTTACAGTAATATCACTTAATGGGCAGTTTTTCAGAAACTGATGAACCTCTGCCCATCTTTACTTCTAAGAGATTGAGAAGCATTTTGCAACTAATGTGGTTCTTAAGCAGCAGGTCCGGTGAAGCTGAAGCGTAATGAAGTAAAGATAAGCAGAGTGGTTTTTTTGGAGATGTGTTGCTGCCTTACCATTTAAAATTAACATTTTTGCTTATGGTACAATTAAGTTTAAACTTTGTTTACTATTTTCCATCGTGAATAAAATATGTGATTATAAGGTTTGCAAACCATTGCATTTTATTTTTATTTACATTTTGCACAACATTCCAGTTGTTTCGCAGTTTGTGTTGTACATTGAATTGGACAGAAAGTGTTTTATGAAAAAAATGCGCTGAGCAAGTGTTTGATTAACAGTGAAGGTAAATGATTATATCTTGGTCGATTAAATCATTGAAGACCATCTCAGTTTTCGATATGGCACTGCTTAAGTGCTACATGCACAAAATAGCTGCGAATACATTAGCCTGGTTTTAGCAGAAAGAAGTTGAGGGGATTGGTCTCGGTTAAAGATAAGAGAAATGTAATTTGGTGAGACTGGTCACACAGAAAGATCGAAAAGCTGTGGAGAGAAACGAAGGAAATATTAGGGCAGCATCCTGCTGAAGCTCAAGTCATTTCTGGATGGCTGCACTTTTGCAGAACGTGCCCCGCTGCCTAACAAGTTCCCTTTTTGCAACATCCAGACTGAGATAAACTGAAGAGTGACAAGGATGAAGTTCATGTTTGTGCAATGTAGCTAGAGTAGATAAAAAGAAGTCAAATGTTTATGTTAAAGCTGAGTCATGCATGGGGTGTTACACGTGTCTGCACAAATATATTCAGCATTGAAGTAGAAACACAAAAGTGGGATGACTGTCTCAGAGACTAGTCCTGTTTTTAAACGCAGACGCACTTTTTGACACTAATGCTGATGGCAGGTTTGGGCTGGCGTTCACGTGACCGAGACACTGCTGGTGCTCGGAGCAGAAGAAATGTTTTCATGCCAGGCTTTGCCCTATTTAGACCAACCCAACGACTCACAGAGCAGTGTGTGAACACTTCAGGGAACATGCATGTTATATAAACACTGGTCTGTATGTGTGTGTGTGGGGGGAGAGAGGAAAATGTAGAGACACTGTGACACATGGGATCTCAGCACCCATCCTCGAGCACCCGTAGGCAAGATCTCAAAAACACCCATTTGACTTTAAATCCTTAATCATTTCACTGAGAAATCTAACGCGTCTAATTGTCCACGTTGTTTTGAGTCTTTTAAATCTGTTACCAACGTATGTTTTGGAAAAGAAAAATAAGTTTCTGAGGGAATTTGTTGTGTTTAACAGCCTCTGCGCCACCATCTGGCTCCCATGGGTTTGTCTGCCAAGCTGCACACAGCAGATCGCTGTAAACATGCGACAGTCTGTCTGTTAGTATAACATTCAACAGGGGTTTTAAATCAGCGAACGTGATCAGCAAACGCATAAACAGCTCTAGTGGTCAGAACACACGGTGCACAGAGAGCAGTCAGAATATTCGAGCTGCATCGTACGTCTTCCTGCTGATGTCTAAAGAAACGTGTTTGTGTGATGTAGCGGCAGGAACGCGGTGAGGGGGCGGTCGGAGAGAGCGGAGAACATTGTCGCCACGTAATGTTGTGTCATGGTGGAAAGAGAAGGAAACACGGTTTGTCAGATGATCAGCAGATGAAAACTTTTGTTTTTACTCATGATTTTGTTGTTTTCTTCATGTTTTCCTCCAGGGTGTGGAACGCTCTGACTAACAACTACGGCAACGTGATGCCTGTGGACTGGAAGACTTCTTACACTCGCTCCCTGCACCTGCCTGCCCTCAAACTCACTGAGCACGAGGTACCACAGACAACCCCCTGCATACACACAGCCCCTTGTGTTGTGTTACTGTACACACAAGTAAGAGCAGAAATAGTACTAAAACAAAAAGACTCCAACAAAACAAATAAACATTTAATTAGATTTGAATTAATTGGATTTAAATATAAAATACGAGCATTCACCTGCTATTACTGCTGCTGTTTAGTGAGATTGTAGTATTCTTAATCTAACAAAGTAATTTATTATTTACTGGGGTGGGAGTTCATTGCAGACTTGAGTGGCTTTTGTTCACACCTGTCAGGTGAATGCTCAAATGTTGATGATTTGTGGGTAAAGTCTGCAACTTCCTGCCAACAGGCAGTAATAGAACAACCACAAGTCTGAGTGGATGTTGCCCTCAGGTATAATAAAAGTTGCCATCTGGTTGTACGATGTGTTTGCTGCCTTTAGGAAGAAATAAATAATACAAAGAATTTAAGAAAATGAAGATATCTGTTAATAAGACAATTCAGTCAATCACAATTAAATAAACAACGAACTGTCCTAATTTGTATGATTACTTAAGTACTTTACTGGGTTGTATATTAAGGTAGTATATCAATGTTGGGTCCTTATCCATTTTCCAAAAACATAATAAGGACTCGCACGTTATAACAAAGGAGAAACAGTTTTTTTCACTCCTCCTAAGAGTTTGGTGTTTTCCTTTGTCTTAAAATATAAAAATACTGATGAATGTCAACAATTTTAGATCTTTAATGGCAAACTATTTTCATTTAGTATTTATATAAAATTTAATATTGAGTTGGTTTATTTCAGTTTTTATGTTATTTTTAAACTTCAAGTAGATTTTTGCCACTCTGGACATTTTTTAATTCAGTGGGGAAACCATCACATGCTAACTCTTGTAGCTTGTTGCAAATGATTGTTTCAAAGCGTTAACTTTAAGCTAGTGATGGGTGCAGGTTCTCTGCTAGTCCGTCTACAGAAAACAACAGATTCTGTCCATTTGGGAATGACAGCATCGGTCTGTCAGCTTGTAGCAACATGTGGCGGAGCAGGTCTGTGCTTATGCAAACAAACCAAAACACAAAAAAACAAGTGAACTCTCTTTCATCTCACCTAAAGGCGTTTAAGCCACAGGGAAGATTTGACACCAAAAAATTTAAAAGGTTTTGACACCAAGACTTTTTAAAGGCTCACAAATATGTTTAAAACCAGAAACCGGCCGATTTGATGTGCAGTAACCAGTCTATTTATTTATTTTATGGGGTGGATGCCTTGGTGAAATTGTTCTTAAATGAATATAAAATTGTGCAGTTTTACTGTCTGCCTAGAACTGCTCGTCACGTTGGTGTTTTTTCACATCATGTGTTTTTAGGAGATTTCTAAAAGATATTTTGCAACAATTTAAACAATTTAAAGGTGTGTTTGCAGCGCAGTAAGAAGGGAAACCATATTGTTTTTAGATGATCGTGACTGTCATCTTTGTCAGAGGCTCCTTTCAGCAAACGGCTGTGCTTCTGGCCATTCACACACTTGAACCACTCTTTTTACATTAATAGAAACTGCCCAGCTTTGACTTGATTTTTTTAGAGCTTGTGTTGCTTCCTGCCCTTCTTCAACCCTTCCAACTCAGTTTAAAGTTTGTGTCTTCTTCACCTGGTAATTCTTGTCTCTGTCTCTGTCTCTGTTTTCCGAAGGGACAGAACGTGGACAACCAGTCGTTAGATCTGTCAGATGACGACGAGGAGCTGAGGGAACAATTGGACATGCACTCGATCATCGTGTCGTGCATCAACGACGAGCCCCTCTTCACTGCTGAACAGGTGACAGAGTCAGCCAGTCGCTTCTAAACTGGGCCGTGTCCTTACATCTGTGATGCAAACACGTCTGCAATTTTGTTTTAATTTAATGAACAGTTACCGTTACACAAAATCAGCTTTAATGTGACATTTACTTTAGACAGGAACAAACAGCTTTAGTAAGAAATCTAACCTGACTTTAACCTTGATGTAGGTTAAAGTGGCATCATTAATAATGTTAAAAATAACTTTGTTCAGGTTATAAATATCCACACCAAACATGTTTTTGTGCACGCTTCTTTCTTTTTGGTCGCGTTAGGTCATTGAGGAAATAGAAGAGATGATGCAGGAGTCTCCCGACGACGACGAGAGTCCCTCGCAGTCCGACTTGTCCGTGTTGTCTCAGGACCTCGGTGCTTTGAAACGCTCCGGCTCCAACACGAGCTGTGAGGAACGTGAGTGTCGCCGCACACATGAACACACAGCAGAAACGTTCCTATCTTGTGTGGAATGATGTAAGATAAGGAGATAAATTATAATGGGGCACACTGTCCAGTACAAGATGCACGGAGCACGTGCGCACATGTGATCATGTTCTTATATAATCTGTCACAAATGGTGAATGTGTTGTCCCAAACGTTACGTAACTGTCTTGAAATAACTCGCTTAACAAAATGTCTAAAGTTAGATTGGTATGTTTACACAAATACGTTGTGACATTTTTGTAATATTGTAAGAACATTCATTCTCCGTCATGCCTCCTTATCTGGCCCCCAGGTTTGCGTCAGCTGTCGATGTCGGAGCTCAACCAGACTCTGGAGGAAGTGGAGGCAGCCATCCGCCGCTACAGCGAGGAGCTGATCAGGGCTCTGGCTCTGAGAGACGAGCTGGACTTTGAAAAGGAGGTAAGAAGCTCTGAGATGATCCTGGGGCGTAAAATGACCGCTCGCACATGTCATTTAGTGTCAGCAGCCTTCTGTCAGACAGAGAGAGGTCAGTAAATAACCAGCAGCTTCATTTTTACACTGTCATTTATCTTTAAGTTGTTTTGACAGAATCTAAAAATATCATATATTCAAGCTGTTGTACTGGATATTCACACTAAATACTGATACACAGAGAAAAATACTCTACAGGTTGTTACAGGGAAAAACATGACAAACGTCAGCCTTTTTATTCTTTTTTTTTGTGTGTGTAAATAAACATGCCTTCCTGTTAGCAACCATAGCGTGTTTAGTTGAAATTGATACCAAAAAAAGATTTGTGTAAAGATGTTATGTAATTGTAATGTATTTATAATCTTGGCTGCTATTATTAAAGATTTTGTTTTATGTTTCAAGAAAATATAGTGAAGTGCTGCCTCATGAGGAGGAAAAACATGTTGAATATCTTTTATTTAAAAATTTTAAATCCAAAATATTTTTTATCCATCCATTATCTTTACCCGCTTGTTCCATTTTGGGTCACGGGGGTCGCTGGTGCCCATGTCCAGCAATCACTGTGCGAGGGGCGGGGTACACCCTGGACGGGTCTCCAGTCCATCACAGGGCCACATAGAGACAAACGAGACAAACAACCATTCACTCTCTCACTCACACCTAGGGACAATTTAGCATTGCCAATCAGCCTAACATGCATGTTTTTGGTCTGTGGGAGGAAACCGGAGTACCCGGAGAAAACCCACGCATGCACGGAGAGAACATGCAAACTCCACCCAGAAAGGCCCCTGGACCAGGATTTGAACCAGGGACCTTCTCTCTCTCTCATATTAATGAGAGATTATGCACCTCAGAACTAAAGTTCCTAAGCGTGTTTCGGCACAGCGCTATTATCTTGCAGCACGCGCAGCATTAGCTTCTTGCTGCGGTCTCCTGCTTAGGAACATTATGACTTTCTTGTTAAAAGACAAGTGAACAAATCCAAAGCTGTGAGTCAAACGTTGTTCCACAGAGATTGGATCTGCAGCAGCAGCACGTCGAACTTGTTAACAACTTGAAACGACATAATCTGAACGTGAACTTCTCTTCTTGCAGTTTAGAGCAAACACAGATAACAGCAGCGTTTAAACAAACTTTATCAGCTAATTCAGATCGGTCCAGAGCAATAACACAAGCTGTAGGAGTTTTTAAAGCTCTGGATCTACGTTTCTGTTGTTGATGCGCTGACTTTAAAATTACTGAGCCCCGCTACGACATCCCATCACGTCAACACTTCAGCCAAACAGTTGTAGCAGCACTTTATGAAAAAGCTGAAACTGATATTGTCAACAAGCTCTGGACCAGATTAAAGTCCTGCCCTGATGATGATGATGATGACCGAGAGATTCAACCACCTCTTAACAGAAATGATGGCCGTTCAAGAAGAGGTATTGTTATTTTATTGTTATTATCTAATTAACTTTTTAAATTTAAAATTATAATCTTATTAACTCATTTTTTTTACCTCTTTGTGTTTTTATTTCCAGTCTGGGACAGAGATAACGGCTGCGAGTCTTCTTCCTCTTGAAGGAAATCAGAAATCACCTCCAGCTAAGAAGTCTGTGATGAGTGAACTCTGAACTTTTCCAGGGACCTGTCCCACCTGTGGGAGCAGGTCCAAGAGGTTGTGGTTAATGATGAGGCCAAATACAGCCACACTGCAAAATTATCAAAGCTCTACCTCTTTATTCCTGCCACCTGTTAGTGAGGGGTTTTCTCCACCGCTGGAGATATTCACTGCAACTAGAGCTGAGCTTTTGGCAGAAAATGTGGACAAGTTGGTCTTTTTGGCCAAAAACTTAAAACTTGATTAGTTAGATTGTAAACTGTTGCTGCTTATTGTTTTGTTTCTGACTGTTATTGTATTTATTAACATTTTTTATTATTGTTAGTATATCCTGATGTCCTGATGCATGCTTAAAAATCCAGGTAGAAAAATACAAAAAAAGTTATTATTAGTATAGTTTATTTATTGTAAAGAGTGCTGTTTATTTAAAATATTATCCAAATGGGTCACTTTTATTTAATTTTATACAAATGTATTGTTTACTTGGCATATTTTCAAAATAAACATTATATAAGTCTACATTTTGGCCTTTTTTTGTACCGAAAATTAACCGAACCGAGCCCTCCCTGAAACTGAACCGAACCGAAATGTGATTTTAGCGTACTGTTACACCCCTAATA